ATCAGAATTCATAGTAGTAGCAGGTTTAGGTGTCGCAAGCTTACTCATAACAGAAGGAGAATCTAGTGCAGAGCTAGATGGCAGTTCCTTACCTCCCCTCGTAGTTGAGGGATAGATTTTAGTTCTTTGATCTTTCAAGTTCTTCATAGTGATCAGCAGATATAAATCCCAAGTGACTCAGAGAATAGAGCTATGCTCCCCGGCAACGGCGCCAGAAATTAGTCTTGATGACCCACAAGTGTAGGGGATCGCAACAGCTTTTGAGGGTAGAGTATTCAACCCAAATTTATTGATTCGACACAAGGGGAGCCAAAGAATATTCTTGAGTATTAGCAGTTGAGTTGTCAATTCAACCACACCTGGATAACTTAGTATCTGCAGCAAAGTATTTAGTAGCAAAGTAGTATGATAGTAATGGTAATGATAGCAAAAGTAATATTTTTGGGTTTTGTAGTGATTGTAACAATAGCAACAGAAAAGTAAATAAGCGAAGCACAAGATGTGAAAAGCTCGTAGGCAATGGATCAGTGCTGGATAATTATGTCGGATGTGATTCCTCATGTAATAGCTATAACATAGGGTGACACAGAACTAGCTCCAGTTCATCAATGTAATGTAGTCATGTATTCCGAATATAGTCATACGTGCTTATGGAAAAGAACTTGCATGACATCTTTTGTCCTACCCTCCCGTGGCAGCGGGGTCCTAGTGTAAACTAAGGGATATTAAGGCCTCCTTTTAATAGAGAACCGGACCAAAGCATTAACACATAGTGAATACATGAACTCCTCAAACTATGGTCATCACCGAGAAGTATCCCGATTATTGTCACTTCGGGGTTGTCGGATCATAACACATAATAGGTGACTATAGACTTACAAGGTAGGATCAAGAACACACATATATTCGTGAAAACATAATAGGTTCAGATCTGAAATCGTGGCACTCGGGCCCTAGTCACGAGCATTAAGCATAGCAAGGTCATAGCAACATCAATCTCAGAACATAGTGGATACTAGGGATCAAACCCTAACAAAACTAACTTGATTACATGGTAAATCTCATCCAACCCATCACCGTCCAGCAAGCCTACGATGGAATTACTCACGCACAGCGCTGAGCATCATGAAATTGGTGATGGAGGATGCTTGAAGATGACGACGGCGATGAATCCCCCTCTCCGGAGCCTCAAAGGGACTCCAGATCAGCCCTCCCGAGAGAGATTAGGGCTTGGCGGCGGCTCCGTATTGTAAAACGCAATGAAACTTTCTCTCTGATTTTTTTCTCCGTGAGACGGAATATATGGAGTTGGAGTTGAGGTCGGTGGAGCTGCAGGGGGGCCACGAGACAGGGGGCGCCCCCCCACCCTCGTGGACAGGGTGTGGGTCCCTGGTCTTCATATTTTGCCAGTATTTTTTATATTTTCTGAAACTTTTCTCCGAGGATTTTCAGGTCATTCCAAGAACTTTTGTTTTCTACAAATGAAACAACATCATGGTAATTCTGTTGAAAACAGCGTCAGTCCGGATTAGTTTCATTCAAATCATGCAAGTTAGAGTCCAAAATAATGGCAAAAGTGTTTGGAAAAGTAGATACGTTGGAGACGTATCAGGGCGTTCCGATAACCCCTCCCGCACTCCGGTTTTACCCGAAACTTTCCGGAACACTTCCGATGTTCGAATATAGCCGTCCAATATATCAATCTTTATGTATCGACCATTTGAAGACTCATCATCACGTCCGTGATCTCATCCGGGACTCCGGACAAACTTCGGTCATCAAAAACACATAACTCATAATACATATCGTCATCGAATGTTAAGCGTGCGGACCCTACGGGTTCGAGAACTATGTAGACATGACCGAGACACATCTCTGGTCAATAACCAATAGCAGAACCTGGATGCTCATATTGGCTCCCACATATTCTATGAAGATCTTTATCGGTCAAACCGCATAACAACACACGTTGTTCCCTTTGCCATCAGTATGTTACTTGCCCGAGATTCGATCGTCGGTATCATCTTACCTAGTTCAATCTCGTTACCGACAAGTCTCTTTACTCGTTCCGTAATACTTCATCCTGTAACTAACTCATTAGTCACAATGCTTGCAATAGTGATGAGCATTATCGAGAGGGCCCAGAGATACCTCTCCGAAACACAGAGTTTCAAATCCTAATCTCGATCTATGCCAACCCAACAAGCACCTTTGGAGACACCTGTAGAGCACCTTTATAATCACCCTTTTATGTTGTGACGTTTGGTAGCACACAAAGTGTTCCCCCGGTATTCGGGAGTTGCATAATCTCATAATCTGAGGAACATATATAAGTCATGAAGAAAGCAGTAGTAATGAAACTGTAACGATCATAATGCTAAGCTAACGGATGGGTCATGTCCATCACATCATTCTCCTAATGATGTGATCATGTTCATCAAATGACAGCGCGTGTCTATGGTTAGGAAACATAACCATCTTTGATTAACGAGCTAGTCAAGTAGAGGCATACTAGGGACACTATGTTTTGTCTATGTATTCACACATGTACTAAGTTTTCGGTTAATACAATTCTAGCATGAATAATAAACAGTTATCATGAAATAAGGAAATAAATAATAACTTTATTATTGTCTCTAGGGCATATTTCCTTCACTAAGGACACTCAGTCCTCGCCCAATCACTTTGGTAAGTCTTCAAGGTAGACTTCCAAACATTCACAGACTTCGTTCACCGGCAATCCACAATGACTCTTGGGTGCTCGGAACGCAACGCCTAACCAACTGGAGGATTCACAGTTCTCAAGTGTAACAAGTCTTCAGATCACGTGGATAGAAAGACTTCAGTGATGCCTAACACTCTTTGGCTCTGGGTGTTTCGGGCTTTGTCCTTGCAAGGGTCTCTCTCTCAAATACTTCAGAGGTGGGTTGCTCTCAAATGACAAAAGCCGTGCAATAACTCTGAGCAGCCACCAATTTATGGTGTAGGGGGTGGGCTATTTATAGCCAAGTGGCAACCCGACCTGATATGTCCGAAATGACCCTGGATCGCTAAAGAACCGACACGTGTCTAACGGTCAGATTTCAAACACACGCGGGAGCTTGGCTTGGGCTACAAGCAAAGCTGACTCATCCAGCTCTGGATAAGGTTTGCTCTCATTGTCTTCATTCGAAGAAATAGGATTTGGTTGAGCATCACATCAGTCACTCTGACTTTGTTCACTGGGACCCCACTTAACAGTACGGTGGTTCCTATGACTCAATAAAAAAGAAATGAAAATTCGAAACATCTATGTCTTCGCACTCAATAGTCTTCAAGTGAATATATTCAAACGTAATAATCTTCATCATGAAAGTCTTCATGAACCACCATTGTCTTCACACATTTTTAGGGGTCATCTCTGGTAGGTAAACCGAATTAATGAGGGACTATTACCTGTGTTATCCTGCAATTCTCACAAACACATTAGTCCCTCAATCACGTTTGTCGTTAATACTCCAAAATCAACTAGGGGTGGCACTAGATGCACTTACAATAGCCGACTAGGTTGTGTAATCCTTGGGGCCCCAATATCTTATATAAGACAATTGATACAACATATTATAATATTGTTGTATTACCTATGCTTTGCACATTACAATCGCAATATACACGAGCAGGGGTAAGGTTTTATCTCGTAAGGAGTGCCTGCACCTGAGTAAATATGTCTCATGTTTTCTCTTTGACCTAATCGCCACGGCGGGATACTCTACCGAGGGATCTGCCGGAATTAGCTTCGACACACGTTTCAACTTTGGTGTCAGTCGATGGTGGTTGTGTGAGTCCCTTGGGAGCTCTTATTCCATGTTGAAACGGTTAGATTATTGTTATAGCACTCATATGTGCCGGATCATGAACCTCTCACTCGCTCGTTTAGTTATTTTCCGCCTGCTCCATTGCTAGCTCAGAAAATAACCACCATATTTTTTTATTTGAACAAGTTCATTCAATCAAAAGAAGTTCTAGTATTTTAAAAAATCTTGGATTAAAATAAACATGAAGTAAAAAACAAAATAGAAAGTATGTGTGGATTTAAAACAATGTTCATGAATTTTGAAGTTTTCTAAATTAAAAAATGTTCACATACTTAAAATGTTCATGCATTTTAAAATATTTATGGAATACAAAAAATATTAGTGAATTATAGAACAAGTTCATAGTATTTTTAAATTAGTTTTGTTAAGTCTCAGTCAGCTGACATTTCGTTATGTCTCAGTCGATGTTATATTCCTTTGATTTTGCATGGAGATTTGTACATTTTTTTTCTTTTCAATTTTCCTTTTTTGTTCTTATATACTATATGTCACTTGAGTGAGACTAGGTTAAATCTCAGTCGATTTAGCATGTGAAAAAATATTCACGAGTTTACCTAGCCACTCCCTTTTTAAATATTCACGAGTTGTAAAAATATTCATGGTTTAGCATGTGAAAAAATAGAAAAGAGAAGAAAAAAAGAAGAAAAGAACAAAACACTCGATAATTCAACCCAGAGCCTGGGGGACAGTACCGTGATTTAAAAAGGAAAGACGTTCAAAAAAATAGATTTTTTGGTGGTGCAAGATGCTCCTGTCATGAACTCCGTGCAAAATTTTGTGAGGTTTGGCCATTCGAGAATGTCATGGCAAAAAAGACAAAATCAGGCGTGAACTGTGCGTTTTTTAAAAGTTTGTCAGACATCCGAAATTTGTTTTTTGTGCCACGAGCTCCTTGAATGTTCAAACTTCACAAAATTTCGCACGGAGTTCACGCACACGAGGTTAGAACGGGTCGCGTGCCTCCTACGTGTAGTTGACAAAACATTCGATGTCACTTAGACAGTCCCGCCGTGAGAAACAAGTGAGCCGACGACCTAGCATTTCCTAGGTAAACACGCACACGCATGAGAGGCACCGCCCGACGCACACTGTCGCAAGCTCGCCCGTCCTCGATCGGGCAACCATGGAGAAGAGCGGAGAGGCGGAATGGCGTTTTGGGGCGGAAAACCCGGCGCTCGAGGCGGCCAGCAGAGCATCCGCTCCCTCGTGCGCCGCGTGTATGACTTCCTGGACACGAGCGACCCGCGGCCCGTCGCGCCGTTCGGCCACGGCGACCCCTCGGCGTTCGCGTGCTTTTGCACGGCGGCCGCGGCCACGGAAGCCGTCGTCGCCGCCGTTCTGTCGGGCAAGCACAGCCGCTACTCCCCTGCCGCCGGCGTGGCCGACGCGCGCAGGTGCGCCGCTGCAGCCTTAGTTTCTTCTCTGTTTCAGTCAGTCGAAGTTTCATACGAGGCAGCAAAAGTAAACGCATACTCCTATATATGTACTGCTGCAGCGCCGTCGCAGCGTACCTGTCCCGCGAGCTCCCCTACGAGCTGGCCGCAGGCGACGTCGTGCTCACAGCCGGCTGCAACCACGCCATCGAGATCATGATGGCCGTGCTGGCCTCGCCTGGCGCCAACGTGCTGCTGCCGCGGCCGGGGTACCCAACGTACGAGGCGCGCGCGGCCTTGTGCGGCCTCGAGTTCCGGCACTTCGATCTTGTGCCGGAGAAGGGGTGGGAGGTCGACCTCGACGGAGTAGAGGCTGTCGCCGACGAGAGGACCGTCGCCATGGTCATCGTTAATCCCAATAACCCCTGTGGGAGCGTCTACTCGTATGACCACTTGGCCAAGGTAGTACGTATCTACCTTAAACGGTCACCACTTCAGAGAGATGCACGTTGCATACTTGCATATATGTGATGATCAAACAGATTGCAGAGACCGCAAGGAAGCTCCGAGTCATGGTAATCAGTGACGAAGTATACGGCCATTGCGTCTTTGGTAGCAAGCCGTTCGTGCCCATGGGTGTGTTTGGGGAGACAGCTCCAGTGGTGACCTTGGGAGGCATCTCCAAGCGGTGGATGGTGCCTGATTGGCGACTTGGCTGGATCGCGGCATCCGATCCAAAGGGAGTCCTCAGGGACAAGAAGGTACGTAGCACGACCCAGCTTTCAAGTGGCGAATTGAATCTGGTCATGCATGCATGACATCTGAAAGAAAACCTAATTTGTTCTCGGTAACAGGTTATTCAGTCGATAATAAGTTACTGTGGCATCTCGGTAGACCCCGTAACATTTGTTCAGGTTAGTGCCAAGCAAATGTTCGTGTGTAGTATCAGCGCTGGTAGTTTCTCTCTCAGCGCCGTGGAAATATATAACTTGACCAGGGAGCTATACCCCAAATCATCGCCAAAACGGATGAAGCATTCTTCGAGAACGCCATGAACGTGATGAGAGAGGCTGCGGAGATATGCTACCAGAAACTCAACGACATCGACTGCATCACCTGCCCTCACAAACCAGAGGGGTCCATGGTCGTCATGGTGAAGCTGGACCTGTGCTGCTTAGATGGCATCGACGATGATGTCGACTTCTGCACCAAGGTTGCCCGAGAGGAATCCGTGGTCATTTGCCCTGGTACATATATAATCAATCATGCATTGGACTTATCAACTGTACAGTATTACATGCATTGTGCTGCTATCTGGTTTTGGTATTGTAACTTAACTTGTTTTGACATCGTTTACATGGCCCATGACTATATTGTAATAATCAAATTAACTGGGAGGAACAAACCTCTTCCTTCCATAGTCTGAAAATATTCTTGCTACAATTCACGGGGTGGGGTATCTGCTGGTTCAATTACGTACTAATTAACGGTAGTATTCTGCAACTGAAAATTAACACATGCTCTTGCACTACAGGGAGTGGACTGGGAATGAAGGATTGGCTCCGTATTACGTTTGCCGTTGATCGACCCCTTCTCGAGGATGGTCTGGAGAGGGTCAAGTCTTTCTGCAACAGGCATGGCAAAGCTAAGGAGGTGAAGTAATATATGCAGAGTTAGGGGTGAGCATGTGCAACTTTGTTGCATATGAGAGAAATCAAACTCGGATGAATGTAATAGCGAACGCAAAGTCTAACCTGCCACTAGTATTTACATACCAGTGGCAGGTGCCACATTTTAATTGTCACTGATGAAATGTCCCCCACTAATATTTCCGTTCCAAATTACTCGTCGTGGTTTTAGTTCAAATTTGAACTAAAACCACGACGAGTAATTTGGAACGGAGAGAGTACATAGCAGTGGAGGAAAATTACAGTGGCCGTTGCACCACTCGGCCCATCACTGGTACTTGAGGTGTTCGGATCTCGGGATCCGTCATCTGGCACCAGCTGTGAGTCGGGGAGACGTAGTTGCCGGTGAAAACCGAGTCGACGGCGGGCGATGGCGGCGTTCCACGTCGTTACCTTGATGAAGGCATCGTCATGTGACTATCGTCGACCCACTCGTATTGCTCCGGGGGAAACCCTAGGATCTGGTGTTCCAGACCGGACGATGGCGGCACTGCGGTGTCGTTTCTCTTTTGAGAGCATCGTTTTGTGGAGCAGCGCTGGAAGTCAGAGGCAGGAGGTGGAGCGGCTTCGTCTTGCACGGAGTTTCGGTGGAGATGTCAAGTCATGCCTGACCGACAGGTGCTACGCTTGGTCATGCCTGGTCGGCAGGTGCTACGCATGACAGATCTCCAAGGGCTTCAAGCTGTGTCGGTTGGTGGTACTTGGCAGCATGGCGCTGAGGTGTATCAGTGGCGACCGCGACGTGTTCAGCTGTTTGCGCACAGGGAGGAGGTGCCGTTGGGCGCCGTGGTGGCGTCGACGATAGCTAGACCGAGCAAGGTTGATGCATCAGTACAGTTCTGAAAATGGAGCGGTGGCAGTTGGCGGTGGCGGCCTCTGAGAGCACGCCGGACCAGTGTGTGCCCTAGACCCGACAAGTGGCTAGATTGGGGTCTCAGGTCTTAGATGTTAGGCTTGACTGCGATGTCTGTTTGGTATTAGGCCCAGGCTATCTGCGCCCCTTCATCAACTGGATAGGTGCAGCGGCAGTTTGTTGCTTAGACGGAGGCTTTAGTCTTACTATTGTATGACTTTGTAAGGTCTTGTGAGAATAATTAATAAAGTGGCCGTATGCATCGCCCATATGCAGAGGCCGGGGTCATCCTACTTTTCTAAAAAAAAACTGGTACTTGAGGTATTAGTGGCGAGCTAAGCTATCCACCCGCCACTGGTTAGCCATGCGTATATATAACTTACCAATGGCAAGCTATTTCTGCAGTCCATCATCGGTAACTTTTTAGGTATTTTCTTGTCTTTTTAGGTTTTTTCTGGGTTTTAGGGTTTCATAGTATTGTATAAAAATTGAACTTTTTAGGGTTAATTTGCTACTTCCTCCGTCTCAAAATAAGTGTCTCAACTTTGTACATTAGTACAAAGTTGAGACAGTTATTTTGGGACGGAGGGAGTATATTTTAGGCATTTCATGAATATCTATCTATTTAACTTGATATAATTCATAATTGAACTGCAAGTGCATTTAGAAAATTCCAAACATTGGTAGAAAAATCATACTGAAGGTAGTGAGCATATATTTAGGTCTTATGACACTAATGTTTGGAAATTTCAAACATGTAGATGAAAAAACTCATACGAACAACTTTTAGGTAAGTGGTTTTTGAATTTGCAAAAAAACATAAATAAAGTTTGAAAACTAAGAAACTTTGCTTGGTGTCATTATATAAAATGCATAGTATGTGATTAAAATTTGAAAAAGTTACGATGGGTTGCTTGGAAACTTAAGTAAGCCTCAAGGCGCGTCGCATATCAAATTAACATGTTGATTTCTCAAAAAAAATCCTCGCAAAAAAACATGTTGATTTCTCAAACATTTCTTGCATATGACCTAAATATATACCTAAGCACTTATTAATGTACATGTAGTTCAAATTTGAATTATATCCATTAAATTCCTAAAAAATCAAATTAACCCAAAAAAATGTCCCAAAGTTTTTACATGGAATTTACAATGGTGAATTTTCAACATATAAAAGTTTCAACGGAAAATGATGATTTTTTTTACTTTCCCCTTAAAATTCTTATTGATCCTTGGAGATGCTTTGGTTCTAAGCAAAGTACTGTTGATTGCTAGGGTTGCTAGGTATATAGTCTAACAACGAGTTGGGCTTCTAAGTGCAGAAGTTTGTAGATAATAGCCAGAATTTCTCCTTGTGAGAAATCAAGATGTCAATTCATAGAGGTACAGTGTTATGATCCAATGATCAACTATGCAACACAAATAAATCCCCATTTATGTCCCCAACAAAACTAACAAGGGTGTCAAACTTGCCAGCCTTACTAGTTGTACAAGATAACCAAAATATAATGTGATAGATAATTGACGATGCGGGAAACCGCCAGTACCCTTGGTACAGTGTCGAGCATAAGCAGTTCTCACAAGGGCCCGGATACGGGCCCTCATGGTGAGGTAATACCATACGTCCTGCTTTATGTCTTGTATTGATGATGGAGCACCTTGAGGGGGTTACATGATAAATGGCATGAGTTATTCAGGCCCCAAGATTATCTCAGATGGAAAAGTGTTCAACACGAAAAGTATTCGTCTCATTAAGCTAGACAATTTCCTTTATTGAATCATTTCAATCCGAGGTCGTATGTGGTGTGTGGGTTCCAAATACTAAACTACTATTGATGACATTTATTCCAAATTCTAAACAGATATTGATGGTGTTCATTCCAAAATTGAACATGTCTCAACTCATTATCCTAAGAATGGCAACCTCTAAGATCCTCGAATGAATTAATGCATTCCATTTTGATCATATCTTGTTCATCACATGGAATACATCTTGATCATATTTGATTCAATCAATTTTGATGCACAATTATATGTAGATGACATTTATTTTGAACCCATTCAATCTTCTTATTGCATTGCCCATGGAACAAACCTTCATATATAACTTGATGTCATTGTTTGTCCATAAGAATTGCCATTCATTATCAAGCCTAAATGCATATGTTTATGTTGATGGATTTGATCCTTCAATTCATCCAATATTCTTCATGCATTGTCAATGGATATTTCTTTCGAATGTATGCCTCGGTGCAAATATTAGTCTATAAGGATTGTCACGAATTACCAAACACATGGGTACTACATGCACTTTCAAACTTATATTTTGGATACTATTTCGGAATAACTTACCAAACCAAATATCATTAGTGGTATGGCTAACAAAAGTTTGGGAACTTTGCAACTCCATGAAGATTATACGTGTGCACTTATTGCACAACCTGTTGTTGTAGCTGAACAATTTGAGATAAGACCTCACCTAGTTACCATGATTTAGCAAAACCAACTCAAAAGCTCTACTTGGGAGGTTGTAGGTATGCATTTGCATACCTTTACCGAGCTTCTTGATATGTTTATGACATAATCTTGCTGACATGCTAAGATTTTAATTATGGTATAATATTACAGATTGTAGATAGGAAGATCGCGAGCCATTAGAGCTTGCTTGGGATCGTATTGAAGAAGCTATTAGGAATTTTCCTAATCATAGAATGGAAGAGGCATGCCTCTTTGGTTGCATGTCTCTTGCACTCCAAATGTATGTTTGGTTGTTTGTTTACGTGTGCACTGATGGTTAATCCCACCTCATGCCCACTTGGTGAACTTAGCTTCCACCACCACGCTTGAAGAACTTTTTCTATGTGTTTTGAAATAAGAAACCTTACAACATAAGAGTTGTGTGGAACAAAGAGATTAATTAAGCTAGTGGTCAAAGAAAATTTTAAGTGATCGACCATTTGCGATGATTTCGATCAAGAGGGTAGGTGAGAGAGAGGTTGAAGAAAACATGTTCACATAATATACACATGAACGTGTTATAGCACAATACAATAGGGAGATATAGATCTACTTGTCTATGAGCGGCCAAACAGAAAATTTACAAAGCGAAAGTTGAGTGAAATAGTGAGAGAGGAGCTACTCAATAGTAATTTCAAATGGCCGACCGTGTGCGATGAATTTGACAACAATCCATCTAAAAATGGCTCCAAACATGAACATGAAAACTGAAGATTCAGCAAATGAAACTAGGAACCGATCGCCTGAATGGAATCACAACGTTAATGTGCAATGTATATTTTATCTCAAGTCAAAGTATTGTTGTGTATATTAGAAGTTTTTAGGTGAAGGGGATCAAGGGAGGTGGGTAGAAAGAACACGTGCAAACCTACTTACCACTTTGCACCAAGCATGCATCACGAGAGCCACCCGAGCGCTAATTTTGGCTCGCTCGGGCTTGATTGAGAGGAAACGATCGATTCGAGCACTCCTTCTCAGCCAGGCTAGCACCGCTTTAAATTTACGCTGGGCAGAATTTTGATACAACACAGGCAACCAAACGGACCAAAACAATCCAAATTTGCATCATGCGGGCATGGCAAGATTGCGTGCAACCACCCAAACATGTTCATGATAGTAGGACATTAAACTTACAAATCCATCTTCGACGTCGACCCTTGTACCTCACCATAAAGGCATGCTCCATGATATCAAGGGTTGCATGATAAGCACAATCTCCTATGCCTTAGTTAAGCACAATTCTTGTTTTTGTTGTTGCAAATGAATGAAGAGTTAACAAAAAAAATTGACTATAGAGTTGTGATGGCATACGCTAACCTCCAGGGTTTGATTCCAATCTCACATTTGCAAGCATGTTGCCCGATTTTCGTTTCTTTCACCAAAAGACCAAAACATGTCTTGTAACTTGTGTAGTGTGTGTGCCATTAAAAAATTAAACACAAAAAGTGATCTAAAGTGAATATAAATTAAAATAATACATGAAACGATCTAATAATATAGAGTGCAATAACTCCCAACATTTCAATAACTCTCGATAAACTAAAATGAGCGCTTATCTGTTTATGCTAAACATTTTTACTTAATAGAAAAATATTCAATATTAA